ATGTGGGGGGGCAGCAGTCCGCATTTGTTGACAGCAGGGCTTTCCACAATGCCAACTCTGGTAGGTGGACTGGACGGTTTATGGAGTATAGGCTGGGATGGATGGAGCACTAGCATGTGGTTTTGGCAGCTTGCTTGATATCAGGTTTAGGAATCACTTGCATGTGCTGCTCGTATGTATGATACCTTCATGGGAGTGATATGCTCCGTAGAATTCGGACTAACCACCCAAGATGGGTGACATCGGAGGGAGCACGGCTTTATTCTACATGCCAACAGTGGCCTCCATCGCTATCAGTACGCGCACTGCGGACATGTAATGAGCTGCATCCTGCCCTGTGCTCTCTGTGCATCGTGCAGGTGGCCGTGGTACTGGGGATACGTCTTCGTAGTCTTTCGGATTCCCGCTGTGATTGACGTAAAGATGACTTGGCTGCTGAATTTGGAATGTAATGAAGTCGAGCTACACGAGCAAACCCTGGACATGCGCCTGAGTAATGAATGATTTCAATCCACGGCTCACGGCTCACAGCTGTCAAGACAGATCTTGAAAACACAAACAAGCAAACAAAGGGAGGAGCCGGACTAACCTTAAATTTTGTTCACTTTAAATAGATATACAGAATGGAACTGTATCAACACTACTAGTAACAACTGATAGGGAGATGTACTCTTGTGCCTTGTAACGAGCGAGCCTCAATCCGCGATCGAAATACATGCACAGCCAAGACAACATGAAGACTTGGCTTCTGTAGCGCGCGTTTCAAATGCTTGGGAGCTAGGCCAGTGGAAGGAGCTCACCAGCTGGATGGAACAGGCGCCGAGCTTCGAGATTCGCTAGCGCTCCGCCGTGTTTCAGACGTGGAGCAGCCCACTGGCCCCTGACGCCACCCGAAGCTGATTTCCAGTGCACCCGAGCCGTTGTGTTGCTGCAACGGTGGAGGTATCAGGTACATGCGCCTAGAACTTGCAATTCTAACAGACGGAAATGAATGCCTATTCAAAGTGTTGCTCTATTGTAGAAATGAAGAAAGTGGCTGTGTCATTGTCCCTGAATCGAATTGTAGCAGTGGTAATCCCTCCAATAATCTTCAAGCATATACGCGTATCAAGCATTATGTAATCTCTTATGCAAGAGCACTCGTTGATCTGCATTCTCATGGAGGCTCTCAATCTGCGGATGATCTGCCTCGAAGCCCTGAGGAGGTTGGGATCGCTGCTATTTTGCATTGATCGACAAACTCAAGGGCTGCCATATCACTCATTATGCGCACTAGCGCAACAAGCATCGAAGCCTATTGTTACTTGATACGCGCATGTTAGATGGCGATATGCTACGGCCCTGAAGATCAATGGCGCTTGCATCTGCCACAGAAGAAGGAATCTCTGCAGACGCCGTGTTCACTTAGCCGCCCACAGGGAGCTAATCAAGTCGAATGTGCAAGGCGACTGGTCTAGTGATTTGAGCCAAGGGAAATTGATATCAGATTGAAGCTACGGACATTCACGTCCTGTCGTGCGAACATGCTGTTGATAGTGAAAGCTGTGCACATGTACCAGATACCTCACAACCTGATACACGCCCAATGTCAAGATAACCTCGGCCGAATCAAAACAACTTGAAGAAATCTTCCCCCGCCGCTAATATGCACTCTCAGTCTGCCCTTCGCAGCCAAGCCCTCGGCGTGTCTGAAGCTAAGAAAAAAATTGGAAAAAAAAAAGAATACTATGATAGAGATGAAAAAGGAAAATGGAGCAAAGAAGCAGACGTATAGAGCCCTGTCGTTGCGGTCTGGGCGGTTTCCAAAACGTCTTGCAGCTCGCTTGGCAGAGACACGCTGCCCCCTGCACGCCCAAACTCTGAGACACCCGCCAACGACCTGCCACAGGTTCCGGCGGTTAGGGGCCCTGGGAGCTTCTGCAAGGTACCACGCCGCAGCAGCGTGCTCTGTCAGGCACCGCTACTGAAGAAGGCTCCAGGGCTCTCCCCGCCCGCGCCGCTAGCAGGGCCCCATCCCCGGAAGCTCCAGTCTCCAATTGACCGTTCCATCAATCCCATGCATGCGCGCCTTGGCTTTTCTCTCTGTGAGCTGGGGAGGCCACTCTCTCACGCAGTCACTAATCTTTGCTCTTCTTCTCCTCGTTTTGCTCCTGACCCCATGTCATTTTGATCTTTTCTTTTTCTTCTTCTTCACCTGCGCTTCACTCGTCAAAATCTTTATTTCCCTTCGCCTCCCCACCCCCTTCGTTTTTTTGGGATCTGTTATAAGTTCCTATTCACACGCTCTCTCTTTCTCTATTCTCTCGCAAAAACAGTCGCTGGCCTGGTCCTCCGCACTTGGACTGCATATTCTATTTTTACCGTCATTCTTTATCCTTTGAGTAGCTGGTTAATAGAGGATCCGTTGATCGCCGTATCCTTTATTCCTCTCTTGTCCATACCTTTATTTCTTTTTTTGGGAGCCGAAAGAAAAAGACTACATTCCTTCAGCCTTGACGAGTGAACAGCCGGACCTGATCCTCACAGCTAAAAAAGTTACCTACTATTAATATTTCACATCCCCTTTTCCAAGTCAAAGAACCGTCTCGATGGCGCCTTTCAACACCATGCTTGGCTATCTCCTGCTAGTGGTAGCCCCCTTGGCGGCTGCCCTGCCGTTCCACGGCCACGGCCCCAACACCAACAACCTCAACTTTAACCTCACCGAGACCATCAATGAGACCATCAACGAGATCAACGAAAACCTGGCTGGCCTGGTTGGATACATCACCAACCCTCACGCCAAGAACGTCATCGCCAACCGCTACATTGTCGTCTACAACAACACCTTTGGCTCCGAGGCCATCTCCGCCAAGCAGGCCGAGTTCGCCGCCACCATCCAGAAGCGCAACCTTGGAAAGCGAAGCCTTGGCGGCAACCTCCTCTCCACCGAGATCCACTCCTTCCAGATGCACAACTGGCGCGCCATGGCTCTCGATGCCGACGACGAGATGGTCAAGTCCATCTTTTCCGCCCAGGAGGTCGCCTACATCGAGGCCGATGCCGTTGTCCAGACCAAGAACGCCCTCGTTGCTCAGACCAACGCCACTCCTGGCCTTATCCGTCTCTCTAACCGAAATGCTGGTGGCAAGAACTACATCTTCGACAACACTGCTGGCGCTGGCATCACTGCCTACGTCGTCGACACTGGTATCAGAATCACCCACTCTGAGTTTGAGGGCCGTGCTTCTTTCGGTGCCAACTTTGTCAACTCCAACGTATGTGACAAATACACTCCTTCCCTAAACCGGTGATATGATTTTTGAAAGAGAGCAAAAAGCTGACAATCATGCTTAGAACACTGATGAGAACGGCCACGGCAGCCACGTTTCTGGTACCATTGGCGGTGCTACTTTCGGCGTTGCCAAGAACATCAAGCTCGTTGCCGTCAAGGTCCTCGATGCCACCGGGGCCGGGAGCAACTCTGGCGTTCTCAACGGCATGCAGTTCGTTGTCAACGACGTCCAGGCCAAGGGTCTCTCCGGCAAGGCTGTCATGAACATGTCTCTCGGTGGCTCCTTGTCTGCTGCTGTCAACAACGCCATTGCCGCCATTGCCAACGCTGGTGTCGTCCCCGTTGTTGCCGCCGGTAACGAGAACGTACGTTTTTTTTTACCCGTCTCTTTTGAAAACGCAAAGCCTCTAACTCTTTATATAGCAAGACACTGCCAACACCTCTCCCGGCTCTGCCCCTCAGGCCATCACCGTCGGTGCCATCGATGCCACCAACGATGTCCGTGCTAGCTTCTCCAACTTTGGCGCTGATGTCGACATCTATGCCCAGGGTGTCAATGTTCTCTCTGTCGGCATCAAGTCTGATACCGATACCGCCACTCTCAGCGGTACAAGCATGGGTAAGAACTCCAACTATTTTGTCAGACATATTTTTTAAAACTTAAGCTAAATCGTCTTTTCCAATAGCCACTCCTCACGTTGCCGGTCTCGCTGCCTACCTGATGGCTCTCAAGGGCCTCACCAACGTCAACGATGTCACCACCCTCATCAAGAACCTCGCCACTGCCACCGGTGCCTCGGTCCAGCAAAACGTTGCCGGAACCACGAACCTCATCGCCAACAACGGTGAACTGTAAATCATTTGACTGGGTTCTCCTTGTCCAGTCGTTGATATGACAGACTCAGAAGAAGAAGGAGAAATAGAAAGAGCGCATTGAAACTTAAAATTTGATCTCTTGCGATTTCATAGACATAATTTTTGATCCGAGATAGAAAGAGAAGCCTTGGAACGATGGGATGGTATCTGCCCGAGAAGTATTAATTAGCTTGCGGTATTGTAAGCAGCGCAGCGTATCGAGCACATGTAAATATAATAGAGAACGTTGCCTTGATCACTGGTCATATTCAAGAGACTATTGAAAGCGTGAACACTCAGTGCCGAAATAGTGAAGATATATTTGAACTCATATCATATATTGATGTATTAATACAATTTTAAGTTGGCCTATTTCGAAGCAAGCGTGGAAATGCTCAATGCGCACAGCTTCTCGGTGACGATTGTCACATTGCAAAGCGATACTTCAAATATGGGGTATGTTTGCTTGCCCGCGCAAATCCAACCTCGTCAAAGCCCAAGGCTGGAGATTTCACGCTGCGTCTAGCTAGTTAAAGCGACTAAAAGCAATGGAAAGGGTTGATATCAGCACTTCTTCGGCACAACCACAGTCATGGAAGGACTGGATTGCAATTTGACATCCGTGCTAGTTGTAGAGGAAAAGCAAAAAAGGAGAGAGAAAGACATGTTGCCTTCAATAAGAAGCACCTGTTGTTAACAATCAAGTAGGAAGTATGGGTTCCTGCTTAATTTAGCATTAAAGATATTAATTAAGATAGTAAGTATACATTGTGTATGCTTGGCAGATATCATGAGCCAAGATCTGTAGTGCATGAAGACATCGAGGCATCGCAGTCGGGTGGTATCATCAATAAGTAGGTTAGTAGTGTCGTTACAATTCGTCACGGTCTAATACTGGAGGCGCACCGCCAGCACCCGACCATAGTTTGGCAGTGTCAGAAAATGTGCCGTCAAATCTCGCACCGAAGAACCAAGCAATGCCAAGCTGTACAATGTTAGATTGAACAATGTGGAAGTCAAATCTGGGGCGCGGAATAAGTGTGAGTATGTCTTACCATAACGCCCGTCATGGTCAGCAAAACGCCGAGAACGACAGCAATCAACATAAAGGTTTCGCCGGTGGTCATGCCGGGTTCTTGTCTCTGCTTCTCCTGGGCCTCCTTGGTGAGCTTCTTCGCATCTTGCTTTGGGAACAAGGTCTCGATGAATTGTTCAATCTAGAGGGGTGATTTTGTCAGCAAAGGTTAAGGTTCAACTCCAAGAGAATAACTTCTTCGTACCTTGGCACACTGTACGCTAATTGCCAAGAAGTTGGGATCCCGAGGGTCATTCTTCTTTTGAATGCGCCTGGCGTATCTTCGGAAAACATCGCAAAGCACCTGAAGGTTCTGTGTGCTCTCCAACATGATTTGGCAAGCATCTCCCTTGGTGATCTTGATATGGCTTTTCAGCACGGCCGGGTTCCTGAAGCATAGTTCCAGGGTGGCAATGGCCATGCCCTGCGGAATGGCAACAAAGTTGAAAGCACTTTGATCCCTCATGCCGGCCATGTAAAACAAACAGTCTTCAACGTGCTTCAGCGCATCAAGTACCATTTCTGATACGCAGTTGATAGCCTGCGGTTCATACTTGGGATCAAACAGGTCTTCCCACTTGTCAACATGCTTGCTCCAAATCTCCTTTGGGTACCACCGCCGGCGGTCGCCCCAATCCTCATGGATATCACGGATGATGTTCGTTTTCTGCAGGAACTGACCCATGGACTCGGTCAAGGCGGGTCTCTCAGCCAGCTTGGGGTTGGCAAGCTCAGAAGCCACAAATAGCCGCGTCAGGCCTTCGCCGACCAGCCCCGCAACGTAGTGGCAGTACAGCTCATATTCTTCGATGGTCTGTACACCATTTTCAATCATCTCGGTGTTTTGAGCGTAATCAGCCATGCCGTTACCCATCTTAACGGTCATGTCCTTGATGATCTCGTAGTAAGGCTTCTTGAGCTTCTTGAGTTCGGTAATCACGACATCAAAGTGCTCTAGAAGCTCTGCATCCTTTTCTTTGCTGTCGTGGTACTGCCAGCCATCTTGCTCCATTGTCACATGGAAGTTTCGTAGCATAGGGACCTTGACGTCGAGGGGAATGGTCATATCATCCTCAATTGTGTCGAGGCCACGTAGTACCAGGTAGAAAAGGGTGATTGGGACCAAAAGCTCGTGGTTGAGTTCTTGAATGACAGCCGAGAAACTGCGGCTTGTCATGTTCAAATAGCGAAAGCATTCTGATAATGTCGCCGACTCGTTCGAAGGGTCGCGTCTGTGAACAGGGTCATGCCAAAGCTTCCTGCAGAGGTTAAAGTTAGCAGCATGTTCAAGTAATCTTGTCTGAGACCCCTCTCAAAATTTCTTCTCAACGATGACACTTACCATTGAATCATGGACCGCAATTGGGCCGGATGCAGTAAATAGTAGAGCGCGCCCATTTTGGTTGGTTTCCGTGAGCACTTTGCAAGCTTGTCGGTTGTCGATTGTGCGTTTAGGGGAGGACGAAGTAGTGAAAAATTAGTATAGAAAAGCCAGCACTAAGATAATCCGGCTACCGTGTTCGCAGCTTGAGCAAACGGCGGGGTGAAAAAGTAGTACGGGGTATAGTGAAAACAAATACTACAACAAGATACACAGCACCTGAAGGAAGGGAAGAAGGAGAAGCTGGGCAATGGGGGGACGTGGAACTAAGAGAGTGTCGTGGGTTAAAATGAACGGCAAAAAAAGAAGTAAGAGCTGATTAAAATACGAATACGCCGATGGATCGCGGAGAGGAGAGGAGAGAATGATAGGCCCCACCGCCGAGCGCACAACGAGCCAAATTGTTCCGCAGCAAAGTCCATCCACTAGGTAGGGCTAGTATGCAGTTTTACGGCGGATGTTTTAGCTGCTGGCACGGCTGCCGGTTCCGCTAGTGATGCGTCGAACATGCAGGAGACGCGCCCATTGAGCCCAACTATTGCGAATACGGAATGGAGGCTGGCTGGAGGGCTTTAGGGGTTACTGGTGGGATTGAAGCCTCATTTCGTGGCTGTCATTGGGTCGCATCTATAGGGGGGTCCTAAGCAGCGTCATTCAATGCCTCTGGTGTTCGGAATCTGACGCCTATATCCGGAGTTCGTTGCTTGAAGCATCTCGCGCCTCAAGCTGTCGCTCTCTTTTTGCTTCTCGTGCTGACAGGCGCTATCGCCATGATGACTCAGCGGGGTAGATAAACGTTCAAGCCAAGTCCGCTCGATGAGGGCTTCGGGATGTAATTGTTTGCAGATCCCGTTTCGGTATCAGCGCGGATAGCTGGATACAATGATTTGAGAGAATCAGCAAGTAAGCTCTTAGTAGAAGCAGTAGTCTTTAATGAGCATTGCGTGAGCGCGAATACGAGTTCGGAGAAACAGTTTGCGAGATGTTGTCGTTGTACCGTCGAGGTTGTACACAGCCCTTCTGCGAGGCCGGAGAGCCAGAGTGTTTGAGAAGCAGAGCAGCAAGTTGGTAGCATCAACAACGAGGCTTAAGGATGGTTCAGTCTTTCACAGCCGCCTAGTAGCATGTGTCCATGAAGGCTGCCTATCATAGAGACACGGATTTGCTTTCGGTTGTCAACAGAGTGATTCATCCATATGGCACTTTCATCCATAAGATACCTATCTTAAATCTAAATAGACACTGGGCTTGGAGGTTTTTTTGTTTCTGCATTTATCGAAGCTTTTTTACCAATGTTGAAGTTACAAGGCAAGTCTGATATTTTTAAACAAAGTCCATTATCCTAAGAATTGAGATAGTCATTGAAGTCATCAGCTATCCTTTCACCTACACACTTACCATACCTGGATCACATATAAATTACCTACAAAAAGGCTCGCTACCTACCTAAAGTAAATGCCCAAGATGCTGTAGCACGTCTACAGGCAAATGGCAATCTAGTGGCTGATTGGCAAGTAATTATCAGGCATCTATCCCGCTTGATTTGAAGGCAGGAACTACCAAATAACACTAAAAGCAATGCAGGTGAAGCTTATCATGGCTACAACAGGTGGCACTTTCCAGAAAACCACACAAGACTGTGCAAAGCGCATTGGAGAGCACTTTCCTCTCTGTCGTTCCAACATCTAGCCATGGTGTCTCCAATCTCCTCCTCTGCATCACGCTTTGAAGAGTTTCCATTCACGTCTATAGGGAGCTTGAACCATCAAAAGTTCAGTAATTGTTGCCTCAAACTACACAATCAGCAGATTCATCACAATGGCAAGCTACCATTCAAATGGTCATCGTCAACCGCGCTTTCTCATATGGGGCGGCAATGGATGGATTGCTGGGCATTTGAAGCGCCTCTTGGAGGAACAGGGCAAAGAAGTCCACACCACGACGATCCGCATGGAAAATCGAGAGGCTGTCTTTTCTGAACTCTTCCTAACCAAGCCAACCCACGTCGTCAACGCTGCTGGATGCACTGGCAGGCCCAACGTCGACTGGTGTGAAGAGAACAAGACGCAGACGGTGCGATCCAACGCCATCGGTACGCTTAACTTGGCAGACGCCTGCTTCCAGGCGAATGTCCATTGCACTGTCTTCGCCACAGGCTGCGTGTATCAGTACGATAAGACGCATCCCATCGGAGGGCGTGGCTACACGGAGGAAGATCGTCCCAATTTTGAGGGTAGCTTTTATTCCCTAACCAAGAGTCATGTTGAACCAGTGAGCTTATATAGCCAAGAGCGGATGCGATGGTGCTAACACTTATCCAGATCTTGACAAGCTATCCAAACTGTCTCATCCTTCGCCTTCGCATGCCTGTTAGCGATGACCTTCACCCTCGCAACTTCGTGACCAAGATTATTGGCTACGACAGCGTGGTTGACATACCCAACAGCAACACTATCCTTCACGACCTTCTGCCAGCTTCCATCATTCTCGCAGAGCATGGCGAAACCGGCGTGTACAACTTTACCAATCCAGGTGCCATTTCGCATAACGAGGTTCTTACGATGTTCAAGGAGATTGTGAGACCTGAACTCAGCTGGAAGAACTTTACGCTCGAGGAACAAGCCAAAGTCATCAAAGCAGCCCGAAGCAATTGTACTCTCGATGCGACCAAGCTGGTTACCAAGCTGAAGGAATACAGATACGAGATTCCCGAGATTCACGAAGCCTATGAACAATGCTTCAAGCGAATGAAGGCTGCGGGTGTTGATTAGGAGCAGTTGAGCTTTGCTATAATCCGTTGATGGATCATCTGCGTGCATGATATACCCGTTAGTGACGGATCTAGATGGGATGCGCTGTAATTCTCAGGGCCCTAATGTTTAGTGGCCAGTTCTTAACAATAGCAAATTGCTTTCTTTGAGTGGGCTATGTAGACTCGAACACTTTCCCTAAATCGATGTTCTCTAGGCAAAAAATGCATGGCGATGTCTACCTGGCAATCAGGTAGATCAAATCGCAGACTAAAATTTTTCATGTGAAGATCGGGCGCTGAAGCGGCTGCTTATCCTGGATCTGCGGCTTATGTTAGTTTAAGCTGCCTGTCACCAATCTTATTTTGGCCGCCCATAGAATAAGGCTAGTGGCACTGCCCCGCCATTACGTAGCGCCGACGAGGCAAACGCTCGGCCTTGGGCAAAATTTCGGCTGCAGCGACCAAATATGCCATCCATGTTTCTGCTAATCCCGCGATAGAGAACCGCGAAACCGCCATCTTACACCTCCCATAACGCAGCCAGGCCTCTTGAATTTCTCTCCTTTTTAGACACGCGAGGACGCGCTGCACCCACATATCAACGAAAACACATTCAAAATGGTCGTCGACACGGCCTACTACGACACCCTCGGCGTCTCGCCGCAGGCCACTGAGCTTGAGATCAAAAAGGCCTACCGCAAGATGGCCATTGTCCACCACCCAGGTATTTACCGAGCGCGCATCTTTCTACCACCTTGACCGGTTTCGCCGTGTGATATTCTGTTGCTGTACACCTCTCTTCTTCTCCTACCGCTCTTCTGACAAGATTTCTGTCGCCAGATAAGAACCCAAACGATCCGACAGCACACGAAAAGTTTCAGGCCATCGGCGAAGCCTACCAGGTTCTCTCCGACGCGGATCTGCGAAAAGCCTACGATAAGTATGGAAAGGACCACGCGAAGCCGCAAGAGGGCTTCGTCGACCCGGCCGAGTTCTTCTCTGCCATTTTTGGCGGCGAGGCCTTTATCGACTGGATTGGCGAGATTAGCCTGATGAAAGATCTGGCGGCCACCATGGACATTGCTATGGAGGGAGAGGAAGAGGGAGAGGCTCCACCAGCAGCAGATGACGAAGATTTCCCCGGAACAGCCGAAGCGATGAAGGAGAGTATGAAGGAGAACCCTGCCGCATCTACAGGCTCTGCACCTGCGCCGCCACCGCCTACAGTGGTTGTGGACGAGGAGAAGACGCCTGCGGGCTCTGCTACTGCGACGCCCCCGCCAGCCCGGTCCGACGCGACGTCTCCAGCCCCGTCTGTTGGCTCCCGGAGACAGATCCCTATTCGACCGGCTCTTATGGATAAGGCTTATGACGAATCGGCAGAGAAGGAGATGGAGCAAGCGGAAGACGATCTCAAGGGCAAGGGGCGCAAGAAGGGCGGTATGAGCAAGGAGCAGCGAGATAAGCTGCTGGCGTACGAGAAGGAGCGCGCTCGCGTTCGTCAAGAGCGGGTGGAGCAGCTGTCAAAGAAACTACTTGACCGGGTCAGCGTATGGGCTGAGACCGACAAGAGCGCCGATGTGACGAGGGCTTTCCAGGAGAAGATGAGACTCGAGGTAGAGAATCTAAAGATGGAGTCATTTGGTATTGATATCCTTCACGCCATCGGACAGACCTACATGTCCAAGGCCTCAACCCTTTTGCGCAGCCAAAAGTTCCTTGGCATCGGCGGCTTCTTCAGCAAGCTCAAGGACAAGGGCACGCTGGTCAAGGACACCTGGAACACCATCAGCAGCGCTATTGACGCGCAGCAGACGGTGGAAGACATGGCCAAGATGGAGGAGCGGGGCGGCGAGGACTGGACGGACGAGAAGCGCGTCGAGTACGAGCGCCGTGTTACGGGCAAGATCCTGACGGCCGCGTGGAGGGGCAGCAGGTTTGAGATTCAGGGCGTGCTGCGCGAGGTGTGCGACTCGGTTCTGAACGACAAGAAGGTTCCGCTGTCGAAGCGATTGGAGCGAGCGCAGGCGCTTATTCTGATTGGCGAGGTCTTCCTCAAGGTGTGTAATTCCCGTTTCTTGTCCCTTGCTATCTATATACACGGCTGTTTTATATCTAACCATGGTTTGACTTGACTAGGCCGAGCGATCCCCCGAAGAAGAGGGCGACTATCTGCTTTTCGAGCAGCTTGTTGCCGAGGCAGCCATCAAGAAGGATAAGCACGAAGACAAGCATAAGCATAAGAAGCACCACGATAAAACCGCA